CTTTTTTTAGCCGTACCCGCCGTGCTGGTGTCGGCGGTGGGCGGCGTTTTCCTCCCTCTGGAGCGGAGCATTCCTCCGAGCCACCGCGTGGAGCTGGCGGCGCTGAGGGCCCGCGACAGAGTCCGCCACGCCCGAATGCTGCGCGGCGTGGTCGACTTCTCAGTCGAAGGCACCTCCGATCTATCCCTTGGGTTCGGGTGATCCATTTTCGTTCCTTTTGTTTTTGGATTGTGTGTGAGGAACAAAAATAAGTTTCTTTACTGTTTATTTTGTGTTTTTGATTAGCTTGTTCAGAGTGTTATTTGTTTCTACAATAGCGTCTTGTTTGTTTGTAGTATACGAAGGTGATCTCGGTTTTCTTGTTCAGGTTGTATTTTACCAAAGTGAAGATAGGAACTCCTCCGAAAGAATTCAACGTTCAGATTGATACGGGAAGTGACATATTGTGGGTTAATTGCAACACTTGCAGTAATTGCCCTCAGTCTAGTCAACTAGGGGTGAGGTTTTGGTGCTTGTTTCTTGTTGGTTATTATGAGCATGTTTGGAAAAGCTTATGGCTTCCGAGGAAGGAAAAATAAAATAAGTTTCTATTTTATAAGTGTATAAGTTAATTTTAACTACAGAGAAACTTAATTCATTTTTATTTCATATTTTTTTAGAAGTATTTGTGGAGAAATTTATTTACTTGTGGTGTCTTGGGAAATGAGGGTTTTTGATCTGGAGGTTAATGTGTTGTGTTTTTTTTTTTTTTTTTTTTTTTGTGCGTGTGTGTGTTTTGTGGTGTGCAGATTGTGCTCAATTTCTTTGACACAGTTGGCTCGTCCACCGCTGCGTTGGTTCCGTGCTCGGACCCGATATGCACTTCTGGGGTTCAAGGTGCTGCTGCTGAGTGCTCCCCCCGGGTTAATCAGTGCAGCTACACATTTCAGTATGGAGATGGGAGTGGGACATTTGGTTATTATGTATCAGATGCAATGTATTTTGACATGATCATGGGACAGTCTCCACCGGCTAACTCTTCGGCTACCGTTGTTTTTGGGTGAGTCATAATGCTTAATGCTTGTTATTATTGTGAATAAAGGTGTGTGCAATCAGTGTAAGATTGGGAACATGTAAAGAGTAGAATTGAATGGGAGTGTTGGTAGAGGCTGAGTTTGCAGTCGGACATGCTTGGTAGGAGTGAAAATCAGAGGGAATAGGAAGGGGGAGGTTAAATTGGCAATGTAAGACTTGTCAATAGGTTGATTTGTTAATAAAAAGGGAGACAAATAGGGCTTGCCTATTTTGATGTTGTTCACTCTATTGTGTGTGGCTTCTCTTTTGTTAGTTTTTGGCCTTTTGCATATATTCCCATGTTTATGTTAACATGGATTTTCCCATTTGGTTTCAAATTAGACTGTTTTGGATGATTGTATTGAAACAGGTGTAGCACCTATCAGTCTGGAGATTTGACTAAGGCAGATAAAGCAGTTGATGGAATTTTTGGGTTTGGCCCTGGTGCTCTCTCTGTTGCATCTCAATTGTCTTCACGGGGAATAACACCCAAAGTTTTCTCTCATTGCTTAAAAGGAGATGGCAATGGAGGAGGCATACTAGTTCTTGGTGAGATTTTGGAGCCAAGTATTGTTTATAGTCCACTAGTCCCATCACAGTATGTTCTCTTCTGCACTTCTATTCTCATTTTCTTTCCCTGGTTAGTAGATAAATTTCACTAATACTGGATAACATTGTTGTAAAAGGAATGTACAAGGCATTTATGAAAGAAATTAATTTAGATGTTTACATTATTGTCAATTGCCAAAATTTATTACTTTTGTAGTAATTACGAAAATTTCACTTTGGAGTTTGGAATTTAGTATTATAATTTACCAGTATCGATGTCAGGAATGAAAATAAATTTGTAGCTTGCACAAAGCTGTTATGATCTTTGTTTGCTGCAACGTGCCAATGTTTAGTGGGTTAAAAATTAAAATTATGTCATTTTTTAACCTCAACTGGTAATTTCCGTTGGGTGAGTTTTGTTTTATTGTATTTAGCCTACACCTTGATTTAGGTTAGTATTCTTATTATAAAAGTAGTGATCCTGGAAGATGTTAACATATTTGGATAATACTATAATTACATTATTATAATGTAATATATATAATAGATATAGGTTTTGAATTATATATAAAAGGTGATATTCCTATCATGAATCATGTTCTTTAAAGGCCTGTTATGCTATTTTATTCTTGTCAAATAATTTACAGTTCTCTATGAGACATATTGCAGTGTATTTGACTGGTTGATCGAATCTCAGGCCTCATTACAATTTGAATCTTCAGACTATTGCTGTCAATGGGCAACTCCTCCCCATTAATCCAGCTGTATTTGCAACCTCTAACAACCGAGGAACTATAGTTGACTGTGGTACAACATTGGCGTATCTTGTTCAAGAAGCTTATGATCCTCTTGTCACTGCCGTAAGTTTTCTTCTACCGGACTCAAAACCTTAAAACATTGTACTGCTACATTATTCTCCTTTTCCGTTTCCATGATGAGAATTTTTAAATAGCAAGTAAATAATGAGGATATTTTCTTACTATGTTGCTAGCATGTCTTTTGTTTTATTTGTTTTCTGAAATCGCTGATGGACATGTTAACAGTCCATTGAATTCATTTGGATTCTTATACCTTTAATTTATTTTGCTGGTGTCTAGTTTTATTGTGTCAGTTATGAACTATTCATTGATCTAATTGATAATTGCTTCTTATGAAAATATAGAAATGATTTAGTGGGAGGCTTGAATGCTTTAAGATACTCAAGCAATTGAGCACACCATATTGAGGTTTACATTCTTTTATATTATTATTATTATTGAGGGGGAATTTGGGAATGAGGCAAAAAATCTATTCCTTTTGTTTTCTTGTCTTTTATTTTAATAAATGGTTTTGACCTTATCTATAACACATACTGATGTTGAATTTTTAATTGAATGTGTAGATAACTACTGTCGTGTCACAATTTGCTAGGCAAACTATTTCCAAAGGAAACCAGTGTTATCTGGTTTCAACCAGGTTGTTACAATTACAAATACAATATATGTTATGAAGATTTTCAAGTTGTATTTCATCATAAGGTTTTCCTATTAGGATTTCTCAATTACTCATTATAATTTTTTTTCAGCATAGATAACATTTTTCCTTCAGTCAGTTTCAATTTTGCTGGTGGAGCATCAATGGTTTTAAAACCAGAGCAGTACCTTATTCATAGTGGTTACCTTGTAAGTATGTCTGTTAAGTTTGTCATGTTCTTGCGTAAGGAAGTTATTCTTTGAAATTTTATGTTACTGATGATGTGCCATTTGCTTAAATAGGATGGTGTTGCAATGTGGTGCATCGGTATCCAGAAAGTGCAGGAGGGCGTCACAATTTTAGGAGGTTAGATGCTGGACAAATTTTAACTAACTAGTCTGGAAAGAATTGAAAAAAATTTAGAACTGTCTCATTTTTGGTTATGAAATGGGGCATTCCAATACACCGTAAAAAAAATTCTTAATGATGTCTTCTGTATTTGTGGTACACGTCTAGGTTGTCGTCATTCCATTGAGAACTCTAGAGTTTTTTACTTCTACACAATTTCACATAGCCCATTGCAGAACTGAAAGTCAGAAAAGATTTGGTTGACTGTTACAAAAGATCTTGAAAAATATTAGCTGGTTAACTGATTTTGTAGATCTCAGTGAACATTGTGATGATGGAATTATAAAATATGATTCAGAAAAGGGTAGGTCGTCTAATTTTCATCGTTCAAATTGATTTCTAATAAAAATTTAGTTGTATGTTTGTCAATTCTCACGATCCAGCTTCCTAAGAGATACCATGTCGGTATATAGTTGCTCTGCTATTTTTCAATAAAGTCATGCATTATACTAAAATTTATTTTATTTTTGAATTGGAAACATCGAGAATAAGTATGCTAATCATAAGTTGCCCTATCCTTGTTTATTTCTGTAAATTATGTATCAAATGTTCAGATCAACAAGTGATCTACCATGGTATTTTGAAATCAATCAATACTTATTTTGCAGATCTTGTCCTAAAAGATAAGATAGTTGTGTATGACTTAGCTCATCAACGAATTGGATGGGCTAACTATGACTGTAAGTTCACCACAGAAACCCTTAATTCCTGCAAGGAATACATACGATTCTTTATTTGTCTTAAATTTTATGTTAAATTGTTGTTAGGTTCTTTGTCTGTAAATGTTTCCGTGACTACAAGCAAGGATGAGTACATCAATGCGGGACAAATAAGTGTCAGCAGCTCTAATTTTTGCAGTTTTTATAAGTTACTGCATGTAAGCATTGTGTCTCTCTCTTTGTACATAGTGTTGGTGTGAAAAAATTAGATAATGTGAAGTGTTGGGAATCATAGTCATCAACACTCAGGATAATGTAAAATTAAGTTTTCAACATTAACCATGGGAAGAAGATCAAGTGAGAAGACAGAGATTTATGATTCAAGTAGCGTTGAAGAAATGGATATTTCAATAGAAGCTTGAAAAGTGGAGATTTCGACAAAAGGTTAAGAAGGAGAATTTCACAAAAGTTTGATAAGTGCATAGTTGGAAGTCCAAAGAATGATTGAATGAAAAATCATAATTGTAAGTACCCAATTTTGACCGGGTAAAAAAAGGGACGATGACCAAAAGTTGATTAAAAAAATTAATTACTTATTATTAAACATTTATGTGCTTGAATAATTTGCTTTTATTATAAACCTTTATTTTTATTTGATAATTTAAAATTGAATGGAACCTCAAATATATTTTTTTCGGACTTGTTGCAGTTATTGTTCTTTCATTTTTGTCTCAAATATGTAGAATAAAACATTATATATATAGTTTTAGTATTGTCTTTTCCTTTTCTACTTGTCTCATTCTTTGCTCTTCACCAAGTAACATGGCTTGTCGGCCTTACCATTTTTCTGCAATGCATAGGTCTATCATATAAAAATAAATAAATAAAGCTACAATATTTTCTTATTATCCCGTTGCATGCACAACTTGGTTCTTTCCCCTTCAAAAGCTCACTGCTAATAAAACACAAACAGGTAAGGTAAGTAGTCAGAGTCAACAAAATTTAAAAGAAGAGGATGATAAAGATCCTCAGAAAAGATAATTGAGTAGAATAATAAAGGCTTTGTATATATTACTGAAGGGGACCAAGTTGGGGACTCCAGAAGTTTTTTTTTTATAATTTAATTTAATTCAAATAAAAGGAAATAGAGCTTTCATGAAAACTCAACCACCTTTACAATCAAATTTCCATGAAGGAAATTCCTGTAGAAGAAAAAATAATAATTTTATAGCAATTACATGAAATTTTGAAGGAGGATGATACGCAGTTCTGGATCAACCTAACAAAGTAAGAAAACATGGATGGTTCTTGTAAATAGTCTCTAGTTAAACTCCAGCAAAGATAGTCACAAGGTCTATTTTGTAGTCATAAATCCAGGATTTTATGTATCATATAATACACTAGTTCAAGCACTATGATGATAGTATCAAAAATATTTCACAAGAAAACTAGCTTGGTAAGGGAAAATGCATTGTGACTATCAAAGATGAAGTTTTTTTAATGAAGGAATTATTTTTAAAAAAAATTAAATACTCTACTATTAAATGTGCTGTTCGGATAAGATACTGTAGAAGAGTTTTAATGCAATTAGCTATAACCTAGAAATGAATTTCAGAACTAAAAGTTATTGCCTCTCGTTGTTTGGGATTTGTATTCTTTAACGAAACATTGGGATTCAAACCTTGACTTGGAAATGGATTTCTCAAACATTAAAAAAAAAAAATGAATTTCGGATGATTTAACTTCGAAATAAGGATTTACAAAGACGAGTGGAGGAAGCAATTTTCCGAGTCCGTTGGATGAATCATAGATACATTCGTTCTCTAAGTTTTTGGGCCTGGGCCCGTTTTATTTACTAAGAAAAAAAATCCAACAAAAAAAAGAAATGCAAATTTGAATGCCCGGTCTCAATCATCGGCGTTCACCGGCACCGTCGTCTTCACTTGCCAACCGTCTTCTGCGCCACAGGTTCCTCGTTTTTCCATTCATAATTCATATTTTGTAACTTGTTTCTTCATTAGCCATCACCGGTATCCATGTATTGAACGAACTCACTTTGGTCATTTACTAGGGTTGGAACATTTGAATGGTTACGCATTGTTTTTGATTGAAAAGTGAATTGGATTCTTTCTATGATGTGATGATATTTCATACTGCATGCCCTATTTTAGTAATATTACACCTTACTGTTCTGAAATGTAATTGTTACTTTATGTCATTGTTTTGCTCAGCATAATAATCTGAGTAGAATAGAAGAACTGAATTCAATAGAATGGGTAGCAAGAGTAGGAAAGGGAGAAGGCGAAGGAGATCCGATGATTCTTCATCGGAGTCACCTTCTTCGCCCTCCGGTGACGATTCGGACAGCCTAGATTCGTCGTCGTCGGAGAGACGCCGGAGAGAGGGTCATCGAAGCCACCGTCAATCGCGGCGGGGTCGGAGCCGGCAGGACTCGGATAATACCTCTGATGAGAGTGGTGATAGGGGTGGGAAGAAGAAGTCGTCCAGGCACATCACTGAAGAGGAAATAGCACAGTACTTGGCCAAAAAGGCTCAGAGAAGGGTTTGGACTAGCTTCTCCATCCATGTTTGGTGTTTTATGTTATGATTTGAGTTCAAGGGTGTGTGTGTTGATGTTGGAATATTCTGGATTTTGTGCTCAGGCATTGAAAGTAGCTAAGAAACTGAAGACTCATACTGTGTCCGGGTATTCAAATGACTCAAATCCATTTGGTGACTCTAATCTTAACGAGAAGTAAGTTCCTTGCTTCTCCCTAATTCTTTTTCCTCTGTCTAGTGTTTGTATGGATTTTGATTTATTGAATCTAACAAATTTAGACTTGTTTCATGTTGTTTACCTACCGCAAGTGATAACTTTTCTAGACACGTACCAGTAACTTGTGCAGATATATTATATATACAGTTTGAAGGCATTTTATTATGTAGAGGGGATTGCTAGGTAGTTCTGGAGTTAAAAATGTTGATATAGGTGCAAATATAAGTACGAAACTTCCAAGAAACCAGTTAGTTATTGATGGATTATTTGTTGAGGTTCCCAGGTGATTCTAATTTTCAATTTAGTTAAAATCTCAGGTTGTGTAAGAACTTGATAAATTATTTGAAAAACTTTGCGGCAATTGTATTGTCAGTCTTTCAGGAGAATGTATATTGTCAATTTTGTAATCTTTGAAGTTTTTAACCAACTGCTGATACTATTTGCTATGTTATTATGTTATAAAACTGAGTTTTTTTTTTTTTTTTTTTTTT